CAGCGGTTCCTTTCGCGGCTTTGCTCTCTTGAAAATAATTTTTTGTTTGTTTGTTTGTTTGTTTGAGACAGGGTCTCACAATGTAGTTGAGACTGACCTGGAACTCACTATGTAGCCCAGGCTGGTCTCAAATTCACAGCGATCCTCCTGCCTCAGCCCCCCAAGTGCTGGGATTACAGGCGTGTGCCACTAGACTGAAAATAACTCTTATTGCGCGAAAATAATAATGTTACCTTCGTAAGTGGCAGTCTCTGAGATGAACCTTCATTGTCTCCTGTGATCTATGAAGCAGAACTCCAGATGCTGAGAAACGCATGGTCTGAAACTCTTTCGTCCTCTGCCTTGCCTCACATTATTCATCCTCATCACTTCCCTCTCCCTCTCTAGCTTGCGGTAGTGGGATTAAACCCAGGAAGCACTGAGCATCCCCAGCCTTTGTTACTCATTTTGAGACAACAGTCTTCACTAAATTATCTAGGCTGCACTCAAATTTGTAGTCTTCCTGTCTCAGCCACCTGAGTAGCTGGGATTATAAGATTACACGCCACCGCGCTATTCAGTCCTTGCTTTTGTCCTGTTGGCCAGAAATTTATTTTTCTTGATCTCTTCTCAGTCCCTTGCTCAGTCCCCACTTGGTTCTACCCCAATATCATGTAAAACTGTGGTCAAATCAGTCTGTCACGCTTGTCACTAACCTGTCGTTTGGCATAGTGGTGCCCACCCTGACCTATGATGGACAAGAGGGAAATTACCCCCCCCAACTCTACAGGGCTCTTCTGTGGGTCCCAGTGGAAGATGAAGATGTCTATTGAGGAACCTGTTTCCATTTTCTGGGAATTGTGGCCTTCTCAGGGATAGGCCCTTATATCCATGTTCATAACGCTCCATAATTGAGCCAGCTACCTACTTATTCCCACACATATAAAACCGAGATAATCTAAGGAGCTGGCAGTGGTCCTAGGCCCTGTACCGCCAAGTGCGTTGTGGGGCTGAGACTACCTTCCTGCATGGGGTTCTCTGTGCAGAGAGAAACAGCGTGCAGCACACAGAGGCAAGGAGACATCCTCAACCCCTTTCTCTAAAGTCCTAAACCCTCAATCTGAAATTTCTCTAACTCGTCCCTCTTACTTCCTGCCTCCCTCCCTTCTACTCCGTATTGCTTGTTTGCTGTTTCTTCCTGTTCCATTTCACTCTTGTGCCGCAAAAAGCACCACCTCCAAAATTTAAGGACTTTGACATTGTTGTGATCATAAAACTGAAATTTTGGCAGAGACTGTTCTGCTCCCTGATGTGTGAAGTCCAAACTGGAGACTAAAATTCATTTCAGACATTTTTCTCCCCAAAGCCTTGGGCTTCTTCCTAGCATGGGGCCACCTCCCTCAGTTTCCCTACAAGTATCCACTGTGAACTCAGTGCAGGGCACAAGGCTCCCAGACATTGCTTCTATCACATTCTACCCGTCAAGGTAGTCTCTTAGGTCAGCCTAGATTCAAAGGCAGGGAATTCGAGTCCATCTCTGAACCGGAGGAGTGGAGGTCTAAAAATTCTCAGTTTATGATCAAAAGAAATTGTGGCTGGGTGGGGTAGGTGGTGCATACCTGTGACCTAACCCAGCATGCAGGAGGCTGAGGCAGTTGGATCTGGAGTTCAAAATGAGACTGGGCTACCTGGAAAGGAGTCTGTCAAAGAGGAAGAGAAGCTGGGCGTGGTGGTGGACACCTGTAATCCCAGCACTCGGGAGGCTGAGGCAGGAGGATCGCTGCGAGTTCAAAACCAGCCTGGGCTACACTGTCAGTCTCAACTACATAGTGAGATCCTGTCTCTAGATAAATTCATTCATTCATTAAATTAAATTAAATTACATAAAAAAGAAGAAAAAGAATGTTGTGGGTGACTCACCATCTAAATACAAAGTGATCAGAGGCCTAGTTCTCCCTCTCCAGTCTGCATTCCTTCCCACCATGGACTTGAACAGCGCCTCAAGTGAAAAAGAAATCTGGAAAGGCAAGACAGCTTACAACCAGATCCAAAAGGAGATCCTCCTAGCATGGTTTAAACACTATCCTCACCTGGATAAAGTTACCATGGAACGACTGGCACAAGAAATCGGTGTTCTGGCATCTAAAATTAAGAACTGGTTTAAAAACCACAGATGGAAGTAAGTGAGATCTACACCCCTGAAACAGCACCAGATGAAGCTGTGGACTCAAGAATGGTTAACAAAAGCCAGCCAAGAGCTGATGGCCCTCACAGCAACTCAAAAAAGGATCCTAAGTCAAGCCTTTGAGAAGGACTCATTCCCTGATTCCGCTACCAGGAAAAAACTGGCTAACCAAATAGGCATTCAGGAATCCAGAATTCTGAGGTGGTTTCAGAACCAGAATTCTTTGAATCCTGAGCAGAGAAGGGAGCTGCTGAATCTCCCGGTAGAAAGCACACATGAGAGACCAGATGAAACTCTTCAGCAGCAGCAGCAGCACATTAACCTGTCCACACTCCCATGTGAGGTTCACAATTTTCCTCCCTCCAGTTCGCCCTTCAGCAAGCAAACATTTCTGCCTACTCCTCTTCCCATGTATCCTTTGAGCTTTGGGATCCCTTCCAGGTCTGTGTGAGCCAAGGACCAAGCGTCATAGCCAAGCAGCCCACACAGGCTACGGAGGGAGGAGAGAGCTCTGACTTCCCTCTGACTTTTATGGATCACTTGCTTAAACTGCTGACTCCAGGAGAGAATTCAGACACCCAGGCTCCTTCCTGCTGCCAATACCAAGAAAAATGCCAAAATGGCAAGGAATACAGTGACACAGGAGCCCTGCAGGGAGCGAACCATTCTCAGCCTCATCCTGAGCAGGAGCAAGAGTTTCCAGATCCAGGTCACAGTGACATAGTTTATATTACGCAATGGTGGGACAAGGGCCGCCAGGCTCTCATCGCAGAGTGGGAACCTCTGGAAGGGACACCCCGAGGATGGTGAGCACCAGCAGCAGTCACAGCTGCACAGCCACCCACACCAGCAGTCTGTAGAAACCCAGAGCCTTTTGATAACTCCTGGCACCCACAGATTCTCAGTAAAAACTACAACTTTATCTTCAAGATTTTCTTAGCCCAAGATTTTCTCGTTTTGTTGTTGTTGTTTTGTACCAGGGCTCGAATGTGGGAGCCCGGCCGTGGCCCTCTAGGAATTTGACATTTAAAAGGAAACTTCTTCACCTCTACACTCAAGGCATTGATACAATCTGTAACATTCTAGGACTCTGCTTGTTAAACTTGTTGCTGCAATGGAAGAAACTCAAAGAGACAGCCATAGATCTGATGTTATCAGTAAGAGTCAGGAAATTCGGTCTTTGAAAAACAATGATTTGGTGTTGTGTGCCCTTAAAAGCTTCCTGTTGCTGTGAACCTATAAAAGGAGCTGTTTCTGCGAAATAAACCACACTTCTCTTCGTCTCTGCTTAGGCTTGAGTATTCTTTCCTTTCTCAATCCTCACTCCTTGACTCAGGCATGTTCGTGTTGTGACGGCTGGACCGCCACAAGTGGCGCCCGAACAGGGACCTGAAGAACAAGAACTTGAAGAACAGGGATCTGAGTATCAAGGGATTCAGTGAAGGACACCGCTGGATAAAGAATAAAAGGAGATCTCGACAAAAAGAAAAAAGAGGACCTTCAAAAGGAAGGCAAAAAGAGGAGCGGTGAGTTTTCTTGTAAATATTAAAAATGGGAGCAGGCAAGAGTTGCATGCTTTTTGTATATATGCTTAAAGATTTATTGTGTGTCGGTGGTGCTAGAGTAGGGCATCAGCAATTGTGTAATTTATTAGAATTTGTAGAAATAGTTCGTCCTTGGTTTCCTTTTCTTTGCTTCAGTGTCTTTCTTTTCCTGTTAATGTCTGAATTGGTAATTTGTGATCCGGATCATTTTGGAGGCAGGGAGGGAAGTCCAGGCAGACGTGCTAGTGGACCGGAGAGGTCCTTTGCCCTTCTGGTAGGAACTTTGTCTCTCTGTTTATGGGGAGGGAAGTTAATTTTTTTTCTCCTCCTCAAGACCCTCTGGTCGAGAGTGTTGTTCTGGTACTGGTTTTGGAAGAGGAAATTAAGGAGATTCCCCAACAGAGTCCCTGGTTCTTCTTTCGGTTTGGTTTTCATAAGTCTTTGTCTTACGTTGTTTGGCCTCTTTTGCTCCAGCCTAGGAGTTGCTCAAACTTCTGCTCTGTGACAGTCAGCTGTTAGTGAAAACTAGTTTTGGTAACACTTCTTGTGCAAATGATTAAACTGTGATTATAGGTTTAACTTGTTCTTTTAGATTAATACTGTTCTATTGGCAGCCAGTCAAATTTTAAGATGTAATAATCTAAAAGCAGAAAAAG